CCCCCTTCAACACTCCTTTAAATATACCCCAAAACTCATGCAGTGGATGGTACAGCCTTCTAGACCTACTGCATTTGCAATCCTACATAGGTCCTCTTTAAAAGAAGTGACTCTTAACACGTCATCGGTTCACCATATGCATGTTATTGACCTACGATTTACCACACATTGAATTTTGCATCACTGGTAGGATTTTTTTACACATTCGCATTGTTTCACAAGGTTTATATTTTGCTTCCAGAATATATAGAGATGGACATGCATTTAACATATAAGGGACTTTTATTACTGGTTGCTATGTCTTTGTACTGTACAAATAAAGTTTTATATATTTTTGTATATGGTGGCTAATCAATGTTCTTTTTGCTATGTTGTAGAAATGTAATTCTAAAAGGAGGGAATGTTTTGGTATACTTTCAGGCAGGACTGTGTCCTTATATCGCATAAATCTATGATAGGCTAACCTCATTTTCATGCCTCGCTGTGACTGAAGTTACAGGAGGGCGGAGCTCAGAACCAGGAAACACTTGGCTTACTTTTCTGCAAGATCAGAGTCGGTGTCATTCAGGTGAGGGGGTACTGGCCACTATACAGACTTTGCTAGCAGTGTACCCTGTACAGAAGACTGATGGCAAGATAGGAACTTAGAGTCATATCGCACGTAAATTGTGTCCATGAGTCAGTTTAAAGTGCATGTAAAGGTGAAAAAATGTAAAAATCGCTGGGAGGTATAGAATTTTGGCAAGCCTTGTTGGACATCCTAGCCAGCCCGATGACATGACTTTTCTCTACTGCAGCTGAGCAATACGGCCTGGCCATCTCCCAGCCTCCATGCTTGTGATTGGATAGTGAGGAGGCAGCGGCATTTGGATGAGGCCATCTCTCCTTTCAGCATGTTACTTGCCAGCACATGTACACTGCAGCTTTCCTGATTGGCTCCAATTGCTGCCTCTCCCTCTCCGAGTGCTACTGTGCAGGGGATTCAAAGAGGCCGATTCCATGTCAAATTCAGGTACTTTGTCCAGTTACCATTCAAAATACATGTTACGAATTTTAAGAAATGCATTAATTTGTGTTCTTTATATGTGCCGGTAGAAAATGAGGATCACCAGCATTGATGTGCTGAGTGCTGGTGATCCTCATTTTCTACTGATTGAGGTACACGGTGCCATCCGTGATCATCACTACTAGCACCTTCATTATTTGTGATCCTGGATGCTGCAAGGAGTGCATGGGGACATATCGATATACCACCTTATATCTGCCTGAAGTTCAGGTTATACACCCCATGCTCCCAAGAAAATCCAGTACTGCCTGCTCACATGTTGACGGCTTCTGTTCAATTTAATATCCAG